AGATCTACCATTTTGAACACAGCTACAGCATATAAATTAGAATTGTGCAAATCTGATATAAAGCTGCTATGCAAACTTTTTTTAGCAAACAGGCTAAAAGAATTATGAATTTTAGCACCAGCATCCTTTCTCAGAATTAATCTGGAACAAAGTAAGATATCAAATAAAAATTAAAAGGATGCCATCCTGCAGAAATCAGTAAACCTCTTTCAACCACACCCAGATAAATATGCCAAGGTCTCTTAAAAGGATCCCCAAAAGAATCTGAATGCATTGATGTCAATTTAATTTCTCTAATTTAGAACTCATGCTCATTTATGCCATCTATAGCCCAGCTGGAGATACAGCATATTAAGCACCAAGAAAAAAATGCTTTGTTGCTACATCCCCCATCCTCAAAATTAAGCGTTCAACCCACTAAGCTGAATGTAAGCTCCCTCTTGCCAGTAAGACTAATTCCTTCCAAAGATGGTTTCCCAAGGGCCTAAGTATCAAACAGTTTAAAAAGTCTGCTTAGCAGTAGCGTTTCCACACTGGGAATCCACATTCTGGGTTTCCTTAGATGGACTTACCTTTATTGAACCAACGATACTCGAAGCAGTATAGAGAGTAGAGAAGGGACATATGCAGGAGACTAACCAGTTGACCAACAAGATGGATGGGAAAGAGACTCACAAACATCCCCTGAAGAACAAATATGGCAAATCTTAATTCCAAAGCTTCAGAGACCTAATGCTATCACCCACCACTCTGCAATCATCACTGGCTGCTGAGACAGGCTCCTAGCTGCTTCCTAAGTTTCTGAATAGCAGGTGAGTGGAGAAAACCTAGAGTGACAGGGAAGAAAAGGTAAATTCATGGTTTTTTAAAAAATAATTTTATGGGGCCGGCCCGTGCTCACTCAGGAGAGTGTGGTGCTGATAAGAGCAAGGCCATGGGTTCAGATCCCAAATAGGGATGGATGGCCAGTTAGCTCACTGGGTGAGCATGGTGCTGACAACACCAAGTCAAGGGTTAAGATCCCCTTACTGGTCATCTTTAAAAAAAAAAATAATAATAATAATAATAATAATTTTATGATTTTTAAGTTCTCTAGTTGTTTCTATGAAAAAATGGTTTAAAAATCATTATCTTCCACAAGGATACCCTGCCTTTGTGAAGCTCCCTCTAGTGAAATGTTTTTCTTTTTTTAATATGTCCATGTGCCAGAAGGCCAGTCTTACCTGGATAAGGAAAAGAGCCTGCAGCAAAAGGTTGAAGAGCATGTCAGCAATTATTTTGCTGACACTAGGGAAAGGGTGAGGCTTCCTCCCTGATACCTCAAATGCCAGGTCAGCTATATCCTGTAACGGAGAAAGAAGCACATTAAAACATGAATTAAATGGCTTTGATATCCATCCCCAAAGCTAAGGCCACTGGTCTGCCACTAGAACTGCCAGGTAAGAAAAGCCCCCAGACATCTGGCAATGAGATGCTTCGGTGACCTGAGATAATAATTCCATGTTACAAGAGCATAAAGATCACACACTGCCTACGTGGCCAAGAAGATTAAGACTGAGAAAAAGGTCACTACATGACCAATAAATTCACAGGCTGAAAACTGTCACCTGTCAACCCATCATGCTGTAGGACCCAGACTTCACTCTACCCTGGACCTACCTGAAACCAAATGGCATTCACAACTTTGCTAAGCACAAACAGGGGGAGCACCCAAAGAGCACTGAAAATTGACGTGAGGAAGAATTCCAGCCATGACCAAACATCTCCATGTAGTGATGGATCACCTAAGAAAGGGGAAAAGAGTTGTTAGTTTAACTGGAGAAATGGAAAACCAGAAGACCAAATATGGAACTCATATTTTATGACTATTCTTTCTATGCTATGTCTTCGTTTCTTGCTAGCACATCACTATATCTAGCTCAAAGAGTCTTATACATAGTATACGCACCACATTCTGACCACAACTCCAATTCAAAGTAGCCACAAATACGCTGCTTATCTTGAAACACACCTGCTTACATGGTGGCAACTGATATGTCACAGTGATTAACAGTATACAATTGGCAGGAAACCACCTGGGTTTAAATCTCAGCTCTGCCACTTACTTACGGTTTAATATTGGTAACTAACTTTTATTTCCTCATCCATAAAATGTACAGAATAATAGTACCCATCTCAAAGGGTTGTTGAGAGAACTGATTTTTTTTTTTTTTTTTTTTTAAAAGATGACCGGTAAGGGGATCTCAACCCTTGGCCTGGTGTTGTCAGCACCACGCTCAGCCAGTGAGCAAACCGACCATCCCTATATAGGATCCGAACCCGTGGCCTTGGTGTTATCAGCTCCGCACTCTACCGAGTGAGCCACGGGCCGGCCCGAGAACTGATGTTTTTAACATCGGTGCAACCTAATAACACCAAGGTCAAGGGTTCAGATCCCTGTACTGGCCAGCCACCAAAAAAAAAAAAACAAAAAACTAAAGATCCTGGTACATTGGAAATGTTCAATAAACTAAGAAAGACCAGAAACATCTCCTGCCTCCATCCCCAGCAAACTGCAAATACCAAGGTATATACTTACCAATAATTCGGGCTGTTACAGACTGAAGCACAGGAATAAATACTCGATAAAACAAGAGGAGACTGAACTAAAGGAAAGAAGCAAAAAAGTAAACATCAAAAGCCCTTCTTTAAAATAAGAGTTTCTAATTTCAGGGTAATGATCTTCCAGACAGGGGTGTTTTTTATAAATCAGGAGGCCTGAGGAAGCACCAAAATTAGACCCATTTCTATTCCCCAATAATCTAGCTAAGAGGTGCAAACTCCATACTGCCTATAAAACAGGAAAACTTTTGGAGGCATAGAAGAACATTTCAAATAGTACTCAGGCCAAAATACACACATCTACTAAGTACATATAATTAGTTAATTATATATTTATTAATATTTTTTATATAATAAACAATGTTTATTAATTAAATATAAAGCTAACATCTGAAAACATCTGTGAAATATTTAGATTAAGATGAATTGAATTACACTAAATTTCAAGTCAAAGGAAATATTTAACTAACTGTTCTTCAAAGTACCCAAATTTTACTTAAGCCTGTGCTAGTTCTCAGCTAACTGTAGGCAACCTCTTCTGCTATGGGTTTCAATAGTAATCATTTAATAGTAATGACTGCTGTGACCAGAAGCAGGGAGAAACTTGCTCTTGTCCAGCCATATCTGCCCTTCTCCTTTCATCCCCACAGGTGCTCTTAGCCAAAATGTCCCAATACCATCAAGAGAAATTGTTACCTATCCTGTACTGGACAGTCACACACACAAAAAAGTTGCCAGTAACAATATTAAAATTTGTGAATGAGTCATTTAAAAAAAGTAAAGTAGAAGTGTATATTCAGGGCTATCCCTGACACTTGTTTACATACAAGTGTTCTTTCTTAAGTGGGAATAAAATCACCGCAGGTACACAAAGTCCCAAGTTATATTCCCAAGTGTGTATCAGCAGGTGAAAACTATCTGTCTCAGTGTTTCAACAAAATAGTTGAGAACTATTAACCTAACAACAATTTGAAGGTGCTTATAAGGTAGCTGGAATTTGAGGAAAAAGAACTTACCCAGAACACTCCACCATTCCAAGCACAGCACTGGAAAATTCTACTAACAATACGAGGCTCACTGGAAAAAACCACAAGTATTTAGTTTATAAGGCATAGAGTTTATTTCTTAATTGTCATTAGGTAGCTCTCCATTTTATACTTTCTGTTGGTAGCATATTCTTTTTCAGTACCTAATGTTCTCCCACTGTTCTAATGGCAGTCAAGCAAAAAAGGCTAATAATATTTTGGGGAACCAGGTTTCTTAAAACAAAAATTATTTTGTGAAATCTGAGGTGGAGAAGATTAAAAGATTTAGTCTGGGGTTGGGGTTCTTCTATTTATTATCCATTAAACCAAATGATTTTTTGTAGTTCTCTATTCAGCATCTTGATTGAAAAACAAAAACAAACAAACCAAAAACACCAAGACATTCTGAGCAAAGATGATTGCTAGACTATAGTTTAAGTCAATGTGAGGGGAAAAATTACCTGTAACATTTTTCTGGGAGAATGCCAGAAAAAAAACAAAAACAAATAAAGGGGTACTGAAATTTCAAGTCACTATGGAGGGTCTTGCCTCCCCCCTAGGACATCCTGACATCAGCCTGCACTCCTTACCTCTCTTGCTTCCGCTCTATACTCTGGGTTCTCCTCTGTGCCAGGACACTACTTGCCCTTCTTCGACGCTGTTCCTCTCTCTTTTGCTGGATTCGAGCATCTAACTTTGAGATGGTACAAATACCCCAGATGGAGTCTTTGATTCCCTATAGACAAGGATATTATATTTAAAGAGGGAAGATTATGGATTGGAAAAGACTTTCCAAAGTTCCATACAGTAAAGCAAAATAACAGTGGAAACTAGTGTTACTTATTTTGCTACAGGGCTTAAAAAGCCTTTTATATTTTAAAAAATTTTTATATAATTCCCAATTTATACAAGAGTAATCAAAAACTTCCACATACTTTTTGTCCATATTCACCAGTTTAATATTTTGTCATATTATTAATGTATACATATATACACACTCACATTTTTCTGAATCATTTGAGTAGGTTGCTACATCCTATTTCTTTAAATTCTTCAGTGTATATTTCCTAAGAAGATTTTTACATAACCACAAATAGTTATTAATTCAAGAAATTTAATATTAAACAGCGCACTTATCCAGTGCGCCACCGGGCCGGCCTAAAATACTTATTTTTGTTTGTTTTTTTGTTTTGGAGGCTGGCCTGTATGGGGATCTGAACCCTTGATATTGGTGTTATCAGCACTGTGCTCTAACCAAGTGAGCTAAGCAGTCGGCCATAAAATACTTTAATCTACAGTCCATATTCCAATTTGCCCATTTGTCCCAACAATGCCCTCTATGGGATTTTTAAACTCAAGAGTTCAGTCCACAATCACATACTGCATTTAGTTGTCACATCTCTTTAGTCTCCTTTAATCAGCAACAGTTCCTCAGTCTTTCTCTTTGAAGAATATAGGCCAATTATTTTATGAAATGCCCTCAACATAGAGTTGTTTCCTCATGATTAAACCTAGGTTAAGCATTTTTGGCAGGGATATTTACAGACACAATGATATACCCATCAATGCATCATATTCGCAGGCACAGCTGTTTGTCCTTGCTGCAGATATTAATTTTCCATACCCAGTCAAGGTACTGTCCAGCTTCTCTACAGCAGCAAACTTTTCCCTTGCAACTAATAGGCAATCCGTCAGGGGTACACTTCTGAGACCATGCAAATATCCTGTTCATCAAGTTCTTCCCCCTAGATTTAGCATCCATTGGTAATTCTTGCCCAGACCAACAAGGAATAAAATGGTTGCAAAATAACAGTTTTCCAATTCCTCCACACTTACTATGAAGCCAAGTTATTACTCTCCCCTTCACTTTTTCAATATCAATTAAATGCCTATAATATTCCCTATACCCTGTACTAAATCTAGACATGCAAGGATAAATAAAATACTGATCTCTAGAAGAAACCAAGGCTGGAGTAAGGTCAGGAAAGAAACGTAAAGAAATAATTACTATAAAATGTGAAAAGCTCTAGGACAAGAGCACTCCACAGAAGACAGAAGCAACATGAAGTACAGCTGGAAGAAATAATGTCCTTAAAGAATGTACACAGGGGAGGGAGTTGTTGAGTTTATAAATGACAGAGGCACCTGCCAACCATATTCCAAGAGCTCCTGTAGCAGAAAGGTTACGGGGGGTATTTCAAAACATCTACGGAAAAATAGAATTAAAAGATAATATGAATCTTTCCATAGACGTTTTGAAGTACCCTCACACTGTTGGTGCTATAAACACCAGAACTGTCCGTCACTCAGTTCAAAGAATTGCATTCACTCATCCACCCATCCACCCGCATGCTGAGCATCTTCAATGAGGCAGACATTAGTCATATGGAAATGATTGAGAAACTTATGATTTAGCAGGTAAAGTACACAAGTAAACCAAAAAAATTACATTGTAGTTCAATAAATTTAATAACAAATTTATGTCCAAAGTAGAGTGGTAATACTGTGGTATTCAATTTCATAAAAAGGTAGAAAAAAGGATTCTGGAAGCAATGGCCAGGCTGGACTTAAGAATGGCATTCTCACCTGTTATTTTTTTAATACTTTAAAAATAAGTTTATTATCACTAATTAACATAAAATCTTACAAATGTTTTCAAATATTTTTGCAAAAAAAGTAAAACCCTCCCCAGAAACCCTTCCCCACAAGATACAAAGTAAGAACTTGGACAGAGAAACAATACAAAGCTAACCATGAAATTCCTGTTCATCAGTTGATCCTAAAAGGCTCCAACACATTATAAGTAAAGATCCATTAAATTAAGAAGTCAACAAGCCACTTGACACTTCTGGAGTTTAACTTACTTTCTACTGTCATTACAATGCTCATTCAAAATGCTGAGGGACAAGAACAGGTAATGCAAGACTGCACATGACAGATATTTGAAATGTGTGGATGGACCACAAATGTTCATAAGAATACCGGGTATGGAATTAAACACTGACTTAAAAATTAAGCCAAGGAAATCTACATATATTTTAGCCTTCGACATCTGTTCTAATATGTTTCTTCTTTACACAGACATCAATTTGTTCAATCCACTAACCAGATTAAATTTATCTGAACACATTTCTCATCTGACACAGATTGTACACAGCCAATTTCATATGAGGGTAATTAGGCTATTTAATGACATTCTAGTGAAATTCTCATGACACATAGGAATCATACATTAAATATGCCATGAAACTGGTTCGTTAGCGATTTAGGAAGGAACAGAATTACTTCTAGATCACCTTTCTTGTTATCAATGACTCTATTTATTTACATCTATAAATAGATACACATACACAGGAGTCTGTGTGGTTGAGATCAGCTTTGCAAGGGGGTTAACCATCCCAGGGGAGTTTCTGTTTGTGACATATGGGGAGGAAATACCACACTTTCAAATATATGAAATATTTAAAACAAGCAGGATATTGTTCTTATGCTCTCACATAGCTTAGTCAAAAACATTTGGTCACTCTGAAAGAGAAGTGATTAAGAAAGATAACCAAAGAATTTGAAAACTTTTCCACTGCGGAGTAGTGGTATGTTTTTTCCTTTTAATTAAAGTCTACATAAAGACAGCAGAACAGAAAGACCAATGCATGCATCAACTGTACCAGAGAGGCACCATCCATGATTGCTTAATCACGGATGCTGCAGTACGAGATAACACGCAGTCACTGTGTGCAGGGCTACTGACTGAGATGGGATAGGAAACGGGAATGTTTACAAGGAAGGTCTAGTGAACAGTATGTTTATGGAATTGTTGAAAGGACTCCTAACGACCACATGCTCAACATTTTGAGAGCTCCTCTTTTGGAACTCCCTTCAGAGCTGGATCAAGAGCTGATGAGAAAATCATCTCCTCCTCATAGTTACAGGTTGGTTTCATCCCCAAAAGGTATCCCTCTAATTTATATTTCTTTTTTTTTTTTTTTTGTCTTTTTCTGTGTCCGGCAACAAATCGCAACCCTCAGTGTCGCCCCTGTACCGGACCAGGACCGGCAACAGGATCGCAACCCTCGGTGTTGCTCCCGCACCTCGCTCAGCCAGTGAGCGGGAACCGGTCTGTATGTGGGATCCGAACCCTCGGCGGGAGCGCCGCCGCACTTCCCAAGCGGCGCACTATAGCAGTGCGCCACCGGGCCGGCCCCTCTAATTTATATTTCTCACCAGGATTAGCTATAATGAATGGGATTTGCTTTCAAAGGACAAAAGACTTGCCATCATTAAAAGGATGTTGTTCAGTTCAACAAATACACACTGATCCCTACAAGGGGAAAGCTTGGTGTCTACTGTGGGGAGCAGTGCAGACATGATGAAATTATGTGTGTGGAAGTGCTTCATAAGGGGTCAGCCAAGTGTTACTTACTCACTTCTACGAATGCCTAGAAGACACATTTCCCTTTTCTTCAGATTCTCTTTCAAAGTTACACTAGAAAAGGAATCCTAAAAATGTTTTGAGCAACGAGAGCAAGGTGATTACTCTGTCAACAAACATACTAGAGTTTTGTCATCTCCTCTCACTGGCAGGGTGAAAGAAAGCTTAGGTATCCCAGAAGTCTTGAAGGGATATGGAGAGAAAGCTTTAAATATCTTTTCTCATTGCTGTGTTTTTAGGGAGTAACTGCAAATCAGCACAAATTACAATGTTAAAATGGAGAAGCAAATACGGTAGATATAGGAGGAAGCTCTGATTGTGCCAAGGTTCAGGTAAAGTTGAATTTTTCAGTATTAGGTTCAATTTCTATTTACTCTTATTAAGAATCCTCTGTTTTGTACACCTTACGTAAGCCTTAAAATGCTCAAAAGAGATTACACTCTTTCTACGGGCTGGAAAAAGGGTAATTTTAAATGTAACTTATTCAGGTTATTCAAGCCAGTTATTCTCTGGCTAGTTTGAATATAGGGGATAATTTAGACTTCTGCCCTTGACATAGCCTCCCAAAAGGGAAAAGGAAAAAGCAGCCAGTCTTTGCTTTTACTCTGAATGAAGACATTTTAGGCACTGTGCCATTTAGAGGGGCAGCTAACCATGAGATTGTTAAGTGTTGTAAAGCACGACCATTCCAAGCAACTGCTGCTGCTCCCTGTCACCTCAGGTGAACTCTTGTGGTCTCCTGGAGAAGAGATGGGTACTCTAAAACCACCAAGACTCTGAAGACACACAAGAGGAAAGCTGCTCAATTTGGCCATTTCACACGTATGTAGCTACTGCCTAGGAGCATATGACTCAATTTTCTGGGGAAGAGGGGTTTAATATTATCTGAGGTCAATGGGAACCCAGATCAGACAGAATAGGTTGAATAACTCGAATAGTTACATTTTTAAATTACCCTTCCTCACCTGTTATTAGCCAAAACAAATTTTAGAAATAATAGCCACGACCCAGAGAAATAGGCAAGTTTACATACTACCTGCTGATAGGAGCATAAACTAGTACAGTATACACCTGACCATTTCTTGTCTGAGTAATTTTTAGTCTTAATTTTGCTTTTAACTCTAAATCTTCTGCCAGTATTTTTTTTAATCAGGATAAAGGTGTGGTGGCTGTGCACCAGGTTAACTGTGGGGAGAGAGGCAGCTGTCATATGTGGAAAGCAAATCAGTCTTGTGAACGAGAAACAGTCTGAGGCCCGTGCCAGATGCAGCTGTCTCAGAATTGGACTTTAAAAAGAATTAAGTCCA